AATGGCATAGTTAATGAATGACCTGGGTGGTAAATTGTTCATCTTACAGATGATCACTTAACCTTTTTTCTCTGCTTGTTTCTTTGATATCTTATCCATTGTATGTGGTGATAAACACAAACGTGAGACGGGGACACTGCTGTCACTGATCTAAGGTCTTTAATGCATGAAAAATAACTGTCCGGTGCACTTTAAGAAACATTTCCAGTCAACAGAAAAGCAGAGGATTCACAAGCTAATCACTTCTACTTATTCTCCTCATGAATAGATATTACACAGAGAAGTTCCCTCAGAAGAGTAAATCCTGATAACATTTTGAGTAGTATCTTCTTTTAGATTTTGAGGAGATATAAATAATTTACTGATATGGCTAGCTCAGCATGAGCTTTGATATTTCAAGGATATAAATAGCATTCCCCCTTCCGCCCCAGCCAGCGGCTCTACCCATGAGTGCACACAGATAAATGCTCAATAATTGCTGTATTCGGTCTCCTTTTGTCCAACCCTGTGCACGTTTTTCGCTCATTCCCGCATTTTAAAATTCCCTAAAAGCCCCCTGTGCATCATTCACGGCAATCCATCCGGTGATCGCACCTCTACAGTAACTCGATTGATGTTTGCACAGACAGGCATCCCATTAGGACGAGTGGTGCTGAACGCAGGAGTGAGTTATCCTCACATTACTGCGGTGGGAGATTGAGAGGGGACAGATGGTTTTGTTGCCAGTTTTTAATGAAGTGTTGTGAATCAGTTGGTGCAGCCGAGGTGGTCTCGACTGTCACTGCGATAAGAGATGTAGTGTGGAAGGTTAACAAGGGTGCCGACGGAGAGGTGGCTCTGTGATAGCTTTATCATGTCAAACACCAAACCCTAATTAATATTTCAGGTAAGGGCTGACAGCAAAAACTCACGCTCCTTTATGCAAATTGTGATGTAATTAGCTGATAGCTAAAATGGCATAATTTCTTTCTTAGCTTTGGGAATGTGTGTAAAAAAAAAGAAAAAAAAAAAGAACAGCTTCATCTTAATAACTGCATGGCAGCAGAGTTCAGTCCCACTCTTGTCTCCCGTCAACAAAGTGGAGATAAACCATTTCACCTGCGACTGATAATGCAGGGCTGTCAACTTGTCGACTGTGCTGTACATGGTAATTATGTGCTTTGGCTTTCTCCTTTGTCTTTCAGGACACTAAAGGAAAACAAAATACAACTGCAATCAGATTTTTCTCATTAGTCTCGCTCCCCTACACCTGTCAGCTAAAAAACCTGCCATTTTGTACCAGAGAAAGGTTCAATGGGTGGCAACTGTCAGGTTTTACCTGCAGAACACTGGTTTCTGACAAAACGCGGCACTATCATGAGTGTCTAAGGTCATAATTTTATGCTTAATTAGTGCACTTATAGACACATGCCCCATTTATTTCCATGCCTGATTAAAATGCACCAAACCACAGGAAAACTACAAATATTCACCTTTCCTGTTGCTGGGCTGTAACTGGGTTTAGGCAGAGTTTCGAAATGCAAAAAGAAGAAAAAGAGAGAGGGACAAAGCAACAACAGTAGGCTAACTATTCAGAACTGAATTCAAGCTCCAAAGGCTGTTCATGAGTTAATCTTAGTTCAAGACTATTGGTCAAAAAAGATCCAAAATTGATTAATTATTTTAAACAAGGACAATGTACACTATACATTATCTGCAAGAGGAGAGATTCATTGTTCAGGTTACATTGTTATATGTGATAATTTCCACCTGTTGTCACTGATGCAACTGGTACATTTTTTAAAAAGAAAAAAAAACAATTAAAAGAGCTGGATGCTACTCAGTAAACATAAACATTATGAAAAATGTTCTTAATTGTTCCAAAAATTAATTTAGACATATTTAATCATAGTGTTTCCAGCAGGCTGGTGGGAACATTGGGTGCATATTCATGTAAGGTAGTCCAACAAATATAAGCTCTGTCATTCTGTTGATGAGGATAAACTCCCAGATCAACTTAAGCTGGATCATCTTATGACTTTAGAAATGGAAACCATCGAGAACATCTAGATCATCTTAAAAAGAAAAAGAAAAGTTTTCAACCTTTCATGGCCCATCTTTGTTGCTCCCTTGGAAAGTCCAAACTGTGAAGTTTGTGGTGTGGGCAGAGAGGTGACCTTTGAAGGTATTGACTGGATCCTCCATGTCAGTGCAGAAAAAAAAATAAATTAGGGGAACCACCACTTTTCCTCCCATCCCTTCAGGATCCTTTTTGAAGTTTAAAAATACTTTCTTACAACCATTACATCAATTAGTCCTTGCAGGAAGTATTGCTTGTGCACATTAGTAGTGAGCCTTCTTGCCTATGTCGTGAGTGGTTCATTGTAAATGCCTGACAGAAAATTAAATGAAATCTACATTTTTAGAATGAATGGTCATAAACTTTTGATCAAATGATGTTATAGGTAGCCTGGTTATTCATTTTATCTCTTCCACGTGTCAGTACGCTGCACATTTTGAAGTTCCACATAAAAACACCAGCATGAATGTAGTTTCTTCCCAATTAAGATTTTGTTAAATAGTTTTTCTTTTTAATCCAAACTAATTTGTTTAATTGTTTTCAGTTGGAAAACAAAATCCCACACTGTACTTTAAAATGTTCAGAATGTGTGTGTTTTATAAGTTGATTTTTAGTCTACAATTGTAGATTTTAGTTTGATTTATATTTAAAATTATTTCGGTAATGTCAAACAAACTTAACCCTGGTTGCTAATAATGAAATTAACAGAATAACAGCATTTAGTCTTTGTTATTCATTCTGAGCCATGTCTGTTTACCTCTGGGAAAGTTGAGTCCATTTCAGCTGGCATACGCAGCAACATCTATCTTAGATCTCAGCAGGTTTTTCTAAGTGTGTGGGTTGTACCAGACAGCTGAATTATGTTCAAATGAGTCTGTAGAGTCTGCTCACTCAGCGCAACACAGGCGAGGATCATATGGAACTGGCAAAGACAGTCTCTCACCTTTTACTAATGTTTTCTCATGTTGACATAAAATTCTGCTTCAACTCTGGATGTATTTTACAGTAACTTCAGAAAATTGTCTCATTTATAATGACAATGTGAAAAAATGTAACAATAAATAAGTAAGGAGTTTAAAATAAGTCTTTTGTGTTGAAAGTTTGCATTTGTCTGTGTCCATCCATCAGTTGCAGAGTTTTGCATACCTCCAGCAGCCAATGGGCAAGAGGTGGAGAACACTCCGTGCAGGACAGCAGGGCAGATAATCATGCGTGCACATACTCCCACCTACAGGTAATTAGCAGCTAGCATAAAATGCATGATAAGATACAGTAAGAGAACATTCATACTCAATGCCGGACAGTCTCAGCTGGTTATTTTATCCCGGGACACTAATAATTGTGCCACCACATAACAGATATGTTTTTTGTGGGACTTAAAACATAACAATTTTGTGTATTGGGTTTAGAATTGAAGGTTGAGTGCTGCAGCGTGTGGCTCCAGTTGACAGCACATGTTTTACCATGTATTTTAATGTAGCTTGTGCACACCGGTGTAATTTTCTCAGCATACTGTAGTCTTTGCATGCTGTTTCAGCGTCTTTGTAGAGATTTTGTGTGCTTAAAGGAGACAAGGCAACAAAGCACCTCCCTTCTCTGCTTTGTGCAGCTCTATTTATTTATACCTACAGAGAAAATGATTTTGAACTTCCATGTTGCTCAGCAGCTCAGCATGCAGCGTTTGTCCTTTTTGAAAGCAGAGATATTACATTTGAGAATCAGGCTTTGTGACATTCCTGATAAGGGTAACCTCCTCAGTCATTTCTCTTACTGGAGAGAAGGAAGGTGAGTTTGCCTCTGCAAGCGTTCAATGACAGCAGACCAAGACAGCAAAGGACAGGCTGCAGCAAAAGTGCTCAGAGAAACAAGCAGCACTCCCCTTTGATCCTTCTGGGATTTTGTCACATTACAGACGTGTGTTTCATTGGGATTTTGCGTGAAAGACCAACACGAAGTACCAAATAATTGTGAAGTGGAAGAAAAACGAGGTCTGGCCTTCAAATGTCTTTGAACAAATAAAAAACTAAAAAGAGTGATGAGGATTTGTATTTGCCCCCTTTTATTCTGACAACCTTAAATAAAATCCAACACAACCAATTGCCTGAAAAGGCCACCCTTTAATTAAATAAAGTCCCCTTATGTGCAGTTCAATCTTAATATAAATCCAAATGTTGTTTGGAGAATTAGGAGATTTGCTAGTGACCAACCATGGTAAAATAACTAGAAACATCTTGGTGTTCACTTAAAAGCGGCTTAGAGACCCTTTTAACTCTGGAGAAGCTGCAAACATCAACTGCTCATATGGGGAACTTTGGCTTCAGTTTAGCTACTGTCCAAATATTGCCGTTTTAAAGGGGCAGTTTTATGTAAAATCAACTTTGAGCTTCATATCATAATATTTTCTCATCAAAAACATACTTGGAGTGTTGCCTTGATTCTTTCATCCATGTTTGAAAAATGCTTCAATCTCCCGTGGCAACCAGTCAGTTGTGCAAAACGTCTGGGTGGGGTCACTGGTTTGTCATATAAAAACAACACCATTTATACTGGTTAGATGGCGGCGCACGTAGTTGCAGCGGCTCATTGCTCTCTCGGTCGGTGCTATGTTTGGCTGTTAGTGTGTGTGTTGATTTGTGCTCCGTACTCGTCATGCTGGACAAACAAAATATACAGTCGGGACGATCTCCTGACGATAGGTGCCCGCTGCGAACAAGATGTTACAGCTGTTTTTCAACGCTTGTTCAACATTCCGGGGGACATAGCGAGGAGCCCCGGCGCGCCATGGATTACCATCACAGCAGGGAGGAAGCGTCGGCGGCGTAGAGAGAGAAGGCAGAAGAGGGGCTGCAGGGCCGGCGTGCTAGCTAGGCTACGGAGGCAACCACACAAACCACCGCTCCCCAGCCTGTTTCTCTCGAACGCCAGATCCCTTGTAAACAAGATGGATGAACTGAGACTACAGGCTGCATCTCACAGTGCAGTGAAGGACAGCTGTATTCTTCTGATCACGGAGACCTGGCTGCATCCAGACGTAGCCGACTCTGCCATCGAGCTAACAGGCTACACAGTACAGCGCCACGACAGAACGAAAGACTCCGGTAAAAGCAGAGGAGGGGGGCTCTGTGTGTACGTGAACAACACCTGGTGTACTAACACAGCGACTGTCACCAGCCACTGCTCCCCAGACCTGGAGTATGTGACTGTTAGATGCAGACCAATATACCTCCCCAGAGAGTTCACCGTAGTCATGATAACCGCTGTTTACATACCACCGGATGCTAATGCTAAAACAGCTATTGCACTTTTGCATGGCAGCAGTAGCCATCTGCAGAGCATCTATCCAGATGCTGTGCACATCATAGCGGGGGACTTCAACCATGCTGACTTGAAGACGGCGCTCCCCAAATTCCACCAGCATGTAAAGTGTGCTACAAGAAAGGCTAACACTCTGGACAAAGTCTACTCCAACATCAAGCTAGGCTACAGGGCTAGACCACTTCCACACCTGGGTCAGTCCGATCACCTGTCCCTGCATTTAATTCCTGCCTATGCGCCCCTCAGGAAAACTGCTCCAACCATCACCAAAACCATCAAATCTTGGCCCGAGGATGCGTCAAAGCAGCTGCAGGACTGTTTCGACAGGACAAACTGGGATGTTTTTGAACATCAGGACCTGGAGGTTTTTACAGACAGTGTACTGTGTTATATCAAGAACTGTATTGACACTGTAGCTGTGGATAAACGCATCCGGGTCTTCCCAAACCGGAAGCCCTGGATGACTCAGGAGGTCCAGCGACTGCTAAAGACCAGGAATACTGCCTTCAGGTCTGGGGACAGGACCGTCTACAGTACAGCCCGAGCTAACTTGAAGAGAGGCATCAGAATGGCTAAGTCCGACTACAGGAGGAGGATAGAGGGCTATCTTGACAGCAACAACAGCAGGCAGGTGTGGCAGGGAATCCAGCATTTCACCAACTACAGGACCAACTTCGCAGTTGCGGAAGGCGACGCCACGCTGGCAGAGGAGCTGAACCTCTTCTTTGCCCGCTTCGAGGTGAAGCCAACAGAGGCAGCCACACTACATCAAGTGACCCAGAACACCACACTCCTCGTTGTAGAGGAGCACGAGGTGAGGCGCACACTGCGGGCCGTCAACCCAAGGAAGGCTGCTGGGCCTGATGGCGTCCCTGGACGTGTCCTGAAAGATTGCGCTGATCAGCTGGCTGGAGTCTTCACCAGGATCTTCAACCAGTCCCTAGCCCTGTCTACAGTCCCATCCTGCCTGAAATCTTCCACCATAGTCCCCATACCCAAGAAAGCTCACATCTCTAGCCTCAACGACTACCGGCCAGTGGCACTAACCCCTGTGGTGATGAAGTGTTTTGAAAAACTGGTCCGGGGTCACATCACAGCACTTCTCCCTCCTGGCTTTGACCCCCACCAGTTCGCCTACAGAACCAACAGATCCACAGAGGACGCTGTGACCACAGCCCTCCATGCTGCTCTGTCACATCTGGAGCGGCAGGGGAGCTATGTGCGGATGCTCTTTGTGGACTACAGCTCTGCTTTCAATACCATCCTCCCTCACAGACTGGTGGACAAATTGAG